GATTTCAAGTTTATTTTGGGAGCAAAGTTTGAGCCATGTTACATTTCAAGGCAGTTCTTGGGTTTGGAAGCATGTTACTTAGGGATGTTGAGGAGTTCTGCACTCTCAAAAGAGCCCTGTGGCTATGGAGCAATGTACCTATGATTTAAAAACAAAGAAGCAACACATTTCTGAGATTGCTCTTGCTTGTGTAAGACGTGACTTATTTTTATGTTCATGGCAGGGTGTTTTAAGTAGGAATGCAAGCTGCCAGTGTTAATTAAAAATACCTTACAAATTGTAGTATATGAGAAGCTTTCATATCTGTATGGTGTAATGGTCAGCCATACTTCCAACAGAACAGCTGTTAGACAAGTTAACTAAGTTAAGTTGGCTGAACTGCCATTTGTGCTTTAATTTTCATAATGTGGTATTTTCAAGGGAGATTCAAGGTTATCACACAGCCGAGGAGCGAGGGGGAGCGTCTCTTGCCTTTTGGAAGTGCATTTCATTTGAGTTTCCTAATGCCTCATTTAACTCACTGATCACTGCAGAACTAAAGGGTTAAGTGGAATTCTAGCTTATCAATTTGTGACAAAATTATTTAGCTTATGTAAGATAAGAATACTTCTTTTTTTCTGGTTGCCAATCTAAGTGGGTTAGCTATGGCAAACTTGGATAATATTCAAGTTCTCAGTATAAAGTTAGATAAAGTCTACAGCCATTTCACATGGGATACCCGTTCATTTTACCATTCAGATTACAAGAGTTTATCCTGAATAATTGTCCTGTGTGTTTTTAGAGTAACATCTGTTGCATGATATCACGTAATGGAATGCAGTACAGCTTAATTTAAGTTGATTTGAGACATTGCCATTGCACTGCAGTAGTGCCTGAGAGGGTGAGAGGTTTTGTGGTTCGTGTGATGGATGGATTGGTTACAAGTAGACAATATTGAGAAAGATGAACTTGCATTTGAACTGCAAAGGATTAAGTAATTTTACTCTGAGCTTGGTTTGTTTTAGTTTTACTTAGACTTCTTTCATCATTTGCCAGCTAATGCAATGACAGAATTCTGCTTATTTTAGGAAATCCATCTACAGTTATAAATATAACTATCAGTATGGAACACCCCTACAGTAGAATCAAGTCTTATTTTGGAGTGGGAAGAGTGAACTTGAAAGAACTGTCTAGCTGTGTCAAAGCTTGAGCTGCACGATGACTTAGAAGTTTTGCTGTGAAAACTTCCTTGTATTTGGTATTGTTTCTACCAAGATTTGACTCCACACAGCAAGGATGTTCTGAGGCATTAATATTTGTATTATCACTTTATATACTGACCTATATGATACGTATCTATTAAACCTGTGCATATGCAGTCTACATGGCTTGCAAAAATGCTAGTATGTAATTAGTCACCATATTTAGACAGTAGTTCAAACATCTCACCTCTATTCCTTTTTGTGGCATTATAGTGTCAGATAACTGTTGGGATATCAGTGTTGTATGTTCATGAAATATGAGCAATACCATTTGTTAAAGTATCCCTCCAATCCATAATTTTAGCATTATAGTACTGAAAACACTGAGTTGATTCTCAGCTGCCAGTCCTATCTGACCTTTGGAGGTTTTGGTAAGCTGCCAAATGTGTAGACATCTTGATACTAGTTTTTTTTTTAATATGCAGAGTTTCTTGCTAAGCAGTGTCTTCCAGATGCTGCCTTTGCACTAGGCCCTAATTAGGTAAGAAGTGTCAATGTCTTTACAGACTACTGTACCAGCTTTCAGAAATTATTCTTTCCTCCCTGCTTTTGAATCTTTAAAATTTTTGACAAGTCTGCTTATGTGTGTTTCTACAGACAGTATAATGCTGATGCAAATTGATAACAGCAAGCAAAATGTTGGGTGTTGTTGCAAATGGGAGGAGGCTGTCTTTATAAAGCAGTGTTATGTTTCATTTGTTTACTTTGGGGACATGTTTCAATTGGGACAAATGGAGGTGTTACGTTTCAGTTGGGACAAATGGAGGTGGAAATTGCAGTTTCAGGTAGTCCTGGAGGAGAATGCAGGCTTTTGCTTCCAGGCTTCTGCTTTTGACCACATATGGTTATAAAAATACACAGTAAATTGTTCTGGAAAAATTTTGGGGCAAAGGAGATGCAAATGATAAAGCAGTGGGTTTTTTCACAGTACTTTATCTTACAGCTTCTAGAGGCTATGTTAAGCAAAATGATCTAGGGTTTTGCAACTCTGTGGATGAATGATTATGGATATCATGCTGCATCTTAAGCTCTTTTATACTTTATTGTTATGATTAAACAGTCTATTCTTTTATACAAAGAATGCCTCGAAGGTAGGTTGAGCTCCTTAGATGTGTAAGTGCTGATCCACAGCATGTGGTGCAATCGTGGGTGTGATCAGTGTTCAGAGAGTTTTGTCTCTGGGTGCAGGGAATTCCACCTTTGGAGAGAGGCTGGTATGCTTGAGGATGAGAAGGTGGTAAGGAGCCCTGTGCTTGATTTTAACACCAGACTTTTAACTGTGTACAATGAATTTTGTAGCTTTCTGTCCTTGCTAATGCTGCTGAAAACCCATTTCACAGCAGTCAGAGAAGCATTTCCCTGGGTGTGCTGTGTGCACACATGCTTATCTTGGAATTGAGTTTGAATTAGCCTGCATACTTGAACAAATTGTGATAACATTTTGATATTTTCCACTTCCAGTTGCAAGCTGGAATTTCATCCCCAGACATCCACCTCCTCGATTCTCAAAGCTCCAGCACCTTTTTACTCAAGCATCTTCATAAAGCTAGAAAATGCACTGACTGGCTTCACAAGGTGAGGGTGACTATATAGCAGTAAGTCTTGTCTTAAAATATCTTTACAGCATTACAGTGCTGACTTATTTGTAGTCCATTTACTTGGCAGCTACCAGTTGATTTCCTGCCAAGATGGGCCAGACTGGCACTTGAAACTGCTTTCCTTTCATTCTCAGTTGGTAGCTCATCTTTCTGTGCTTGGGCAGCAGAAAGCAAGTATGGGCTGAAGTGACTTGTAAATGAACCTTGTGTCTTTCTCTATGGCAACTTTTGTAAGGTTGAGATTTCTCATTTTCATGAACAAGTGACATATAACCCAGGAACAAGCAGGAGACTCTCAGTTTTCTAAATCACAGCAAGTAACAATTGAGGTAATAAAGAATCAATGGTACTACATGGACTGATTATTTTTTCAAGTTGAATAAAAATTTCCATTTGCCAGCTATGGTAGATTGTTTTGCTCTAATATATTGAAGAGTTCAGTGTTTTGCTGAAGTATTTGGTTTGGTGGTGTGAGAACCTCTTAAGCAATGATGTTGTTTTCAGCTTTAAAAGGTCTGCAGTTGTGTAATCCTTTTCTTATTACATATTGTTTATTTTCATATAATGATCTCTCTTTACCTTTCTTGAGAGTTGATATGAGTAAAGTGGTAAAGTAACCTTTTGTCTCAGCAGCCTCAAGTCCAGCCTATCCTGTGGTTTGGTTTCAGTCATGTTCTGTACTAGCAGGAAAGTTCTGATTTTTCTGGAATGTGAGATTTAAATTTTGTGTATAGGTGACATAATTATAAGCATAAAACAGTTTCAAAAATAACTGGCTTCAATTTGTACTGCTGGAAACATTAATTAGGCTTAAAGTAATTTACAGTGAGTACCTTTTACCTTTGTTCAATTTACATGTGCCAAGTGCTGTGTAGCAGGAAATGGCAAAGTGGGACTTGGCAGACAGAACAGCAGCAGGAAAGACATTATCCATGTCTGACAGAAGTGATGGTGCCTGTTTAAGAAAAGACTTATGATAGTAGGAGGGATGGTGTCAGGAATGTGATGATGGTGTAGGACTGATGGGCATAATCCTTAGACACAATAAATATACTTAGATACCATGACAGAATCAAAATTTAGCAATGGTCCTGTAAATGAATATATGAATAAATTAAATCAAGAAGCCCAACTTAAATATTTCAGTTCACTGTAGCTTGCAATTTTTGTAATTCTTTATCATTTGTGAATGCAAGGTTTTCTTAGGTGGTTTTTGTTGTGGTGTAAGGACACATCTGTTGACAAGGGTGTGTCTGACCTCCCTGGGGAAAGCAGTGAGCTGCAGTCATTACTGCACAGCCATCATGCAGGGTCAAGCTAAAGGAGCCAGTGGTGTCTCCTGGGTCAGGCTATCACTAAAGGCACTGGTACAGGGAGGAAGAGATAAATGTCCAGCTTCACTTGAAAAAAGCCAAGGCTGTGGGAAATGAGATCACTCTGTTGTGATGTTTACAGTAGTGGAACAGCTGAGGATGTACAGACCCCAGGCAAGAGCCCAAGATGTTGTAGTATGTACCAACTCTGAACAATATCTGGGTTTTTTAATAATAAAAAAATTCAGTGGCTGTGCTTGCAGTTGTGAGTAAGGTCCAGATAAGCCTGGTTGTTTGCTGGGTTGTCTGTTCAGCTGCCCTGTGATACTAACGAGACTTAAAAACAGCTGATGAGTGCAAGTGTGTGTACAGAAAACTAAAACCTGTGAAAAAAGGGCAGCTAACTTTGCCACCTGAGCTTGGGCACACCCGACTTCGGATTAAGTACAAAACAAATCCAGACATTGAAGAGGGGTTGCAGGGGATGTAATGAGTTTTGTCTGAGGCCTTTGTATATAGTGGACCTGCACATGTAAGGGGTCAGTCCAAATGGATCAGAGGTGGTGTATGAGTGAGTGACAATTTGTTCGCTCTGTCCTAGGCGGAGAATGCATTTGTAGAGTTTTCATGTCAGAGCTTTAGACTCTCTAATACCACTCCCAAGGGAATGGCAGGGTTTTGGTGATGAAGAGACGAGGCAGAAAACACCTTGACTGAGGTACAGGTGTGTGGTTAAGGTGAGCTGCTTATATAGCAGTACTGCAGTTGGAGGTTATTCAACAGACAAAGGAACCCTGCAAGCAGTAGGAAGGGTGGATGTGGCCTGAGGAACCAAGCAGGTCGCAGTGGGGGCAGCTGTAAGGCCAGGCTATGGAAGTGGCTCAGTAATGAGTGTGAATATCTGTGTGGGAACAATGCGTTCCTGCCTTAATGCTATTATCATTCCTTTTCAGAGATAAATTGCAGTCTGAAGTGTTACAAATGCCGTTTGTGTATGAGAGTAAAAATCCTCTAGTATTTTGTGTTGAAAACTGAAAACAAAGCACTGTTTCCTTGTTGGTTGTGCACTAATTTTCCACTCCCATACACTAACTATGCAGATTCTTCTTGGGATTCATCTATTAAATTTCCATCTTCCCTGCTGTCAAGCAGTTCTTGCAGACTAGTGGGAAGATGTTGCATTTTTCTCTTTTCCTGAAGCACCTATTTTGGAAGGTTTTTAAAGTGTTGGGGGTTTTAAAAATATTTTAAAGTTTAGGAAATTATTTACAGCTTTTGGAGGTTGTTATAGGACGTTTTTTCAGTGGAAACATTTCCAAACATCTGTTTTCAAAACAGTCTCTGTAAAGTGAGTTTCTTCTGGAAAGCAATTAGTCTCTTGCTCCCTGTTAAAATGTCAGCTTCACCTTGAAGGAACACCTTAGGTGTGTGGTTATTTGAAAATATCTGTTAGGTAGGATAATGCTCATAGCCCCTTGTCATCACAGAAAACATCAGCCAGTTTTGAACAGTTGCCTTTGTAGGAAAAAATGTATGTTGCATCATTAAGTTTGAGAACTCTTCTAAGCCCTTTGCCACAAGATAACTAGCAAAACTTACTGCGGGAATATGAATTTCATGGTCACTCCCCATTTTGTTACAAGGTATTCTACTGCTTGGAGATCTGATTTTTTATAAAATTATATGATCAATGACATCCTGTAGCACTTGGTGCACTTGTGCCTCTAGCATTGCTGTGTTAGTTTATCTAGGAATGATTCGGTGAAAGAATTCCCTGTGGGGTTATGGAGTGACTGCTCTAACTGGAATAAAAAATAAGAGGATTCTGGTGTAAAGGTTACAGGTAAAATCACATAAATGTACGCTTGCACAGTTTTCTCATAAAATATTTTTTCTATTAAAGAAATAATTTACTGTTGAGTCTGCTCTGATACATCATTCCTGGAGTGACTTGCAAAGGAGAAGTTCCCAGTGTGTTTTACTGTTGAAACAATCCAGCATATACCCTAAGATCAGGCATGTAAGAAACTCCCACACTGCATAATTTGTTCTAATATTTGTTTCCTCAAATCTTCAGCTTTTTTGTGAGTCTTCCAGCAGTATTTGCTGACAAAGGAATGCCATTTGGAAGACCAAATGTTTCCCCAATGCACTTTGCCTTTGTCTCTTCTGCTGAAAAGTAAGAAATATTAAAAAAGATTTTTGAAGATTTGCCACTAAGTTCAGGTGATTGGAGTTTAAGTGAAGTGCTATATTAAGTATAACATGACTTGAAGAAGTTGCAGATTTGTCCTCATCTCACTGGGTACTTAATTTTTAAATGTCTTGCTAATCATGATGGCTTCATATTATCATCATCTAATATCTCAAGGCAAAATGTGTAGTTAGAATGAGATTCATTCTTAATGATGGGAGATGTAAATCCACATTTCAAATCGTTATCATCATAATTCCATTTTTTTTTTTTGGCCAACGTTTTGTCAGATCTGATTGTTTTTACCTCAGTGTGGGTGACAAGTAGCTTTTACTGAGAATAGGAAGTCAGTTGTTGCATATGGATTTTAAAGCAAAAAGATCTGTCTTGGCATCTGTGTATCTGACATAATGGCACTTCAGAGTCTTCAGGATCAGAGGTGATTTTAGCAAGATTTGCAGCTGTAGAGGGCCTTAAAGGCCATTTGTGTATTTCCCTGCTTAGAATTCCTTGCCTTCGTTTGTCTCATATTACCATACTTGAAAATAGGCTCTTTAATTATGTGGTCCACATGTGTTGTGACAGCATGCAAATTTCTATAAGCATGCCTTTGTGAATTGTGATCTTAGGGTGTGCCAGTTCAACTTTGAGAAATAAGCATTCCTAGATAATGGAAGTTTTATTTTGGTGAGTTTTGTTGGTTTTGGTCTTTTTAGCATCTGGGACTTGTAAGAAGGGACAGCAATTCTCCTAGTTTGCTTGTAGCAGCCAATATAGTGTAGTTCTCATCCTGCCTTAGGCCACAGCAGATAAATTCCAAATACCTGCAAAACATCTGCTATCAAGCACCAGTACTGTCTTGGTACCCACCCAAAAAGTGTATCTTCTCACATACAGCTTGTCTTTCTGCAGCTGCCAAAGAGTGAAATTCAATTTTAGCCCCCAAAGAAGATGCAAAAGAAAGGTGGGATTGCAGATAATTGTGTTTTGAGTAAAAAGAGAAGATAAAGGAGGGAGTTGCTTTATAAAAGTTGTTTACAAGACACTTAAAACCAAAGAAAGAAATGTGGAATGAAGACAGAAAATTATAGAATAGAATAGAAAGAAAAAGGAGAAAAGTATTTTAAAATGCTTTTCTGCAAACTTTAGTTACAGCTTTGGAAAGACAGAAGATTTCTGATAGTGTGTAATGACTAATTGTTTGGTTGTTATTTTTTCTGGACTACATACTCATGCCAAATTTCTTGCTTCATGTTTACATCTCATTATTTTAACCAGAACTATATTACTGCTTATCAAATACTCTTTGTGCTACTATGACCAGATGCAGAAAGCAACCATGTCATCACAGAAACAGACCTTCTAGAGCAGCTGTATTTCATATCCACACTTGTTCTGATGTCTTCAGTAGTTTTGCTATTTCCTTCTGAATTTGAGCTGTTCTGTAAGAACTCTCTAATTTAGCTTTCT